GAGCGAGGCACTGAACTCTAGCCACTTTTGCCGATCGAGCTGAACCGCATATTTGCGGGCAGCTACCGTGGCTCTTGTGACCTCCCTCAAGGCTCTCGCGTTTTTCGGGCCTCTTCTGTAGCGTTGTAGAGCCGTCAGCCGCCGAGCCCAGAGATTCAACAGGTGAAGGTCCGGGATGGGAGTGTCGACCTTTATTTGTTTCTTCGTGGTCGCGGCATGGAGGGCCTCCTTGATGGACTCGAAGACCGTTGGTGCTGTGCTGCTTTGGAGTTTGCTCCGGTACAGGTCCCAGTTCACGACATGTACGAGCCGTTTCCCGGGCTTGGAGGCCGCCGATCCGTTGAGGGCCAGGACTATCCTGATGGGCAGGTGATCGCTCCCGCGAGTGTCGGCCTCCGGCTTCCAAGTGTGGTTGGCCGTGTGTGGGCTGTTTGTGCAGGTGGTATCTGGGGTGGTGTGTTTCTGCCGAGCGTTGCAGCTCAGCCGTGTCTTCATCCCTGCGGTGTTCATCAGGGTGTAGCGGTGGTGCGTCATTTCATCCAAAAGATTTTGGCCTGCCGAGGTGTCCTGGGCGTAGCCCCACGCTGTGTGTTGGAGGTTGAAGTCTCCCCCGACTATCTTCTGCTCTTTTGGGTAAAGGCCGTCGAGGTGAGAAATCCATCCGTGGTCCCTGGGTTCCCTGACGGAAGCCCCAGGTCGGTAATACACGGACACCAGAATGACAGGAATGTCTTGCTGGGTGGTTTGGACGGCTACCACTTCCTGATGTTCCGTGCACCATTGTTGAAGGTCGACCTTGTGCTGCGGCCAGTGTTTCTTGAGGTAGACCATGGCTTGTCCTTCCCTTCCTCCGAACTGGCCCGCCCTAACGGACGGTATCGAGGGATCTGCGTAGGACTTATAGCCGGTCAGCTTGACGGTGGTACAGTAGACTTCTTGCAGTAGGTAGGCGTCTGGGCGTTCCTGTGGTTTGTTATGATGCGTGGCTTTGAGTTCTGCGGCACGTAACCGCAAACCTCGGCAGTTCCGCTGGGCAACGTTTACTGCCATGCTGGGGGGTTAAGGTTGCTCTGTACGGCAGTGCCGGTCTGGGCGGCGATGGCCGTGAAGAGCTGGAGCAGCATGGCAGGGTCGATGGTAATCGTTGTAGGAGCAGTTACCTGGGGCGCAGGCTGTTGACTGTTTCCCCGCGTCTTGCGGTAGTCCTGTCGGATGCGCTTTGAGTTGTCTTGAGATTTCGGAGGAGTGGTGCGCCGTCGCGCCGCCTCTCGAATTTTGCGGACAATATCAAGTCTCCTTGGGCAGTATTTGTCTGTAGCCAGGTGTCCATTCTTTCGGCACATTTGGCAGAAAGGAATGGGGAAAGGGCAGGTCACGTTTCCTTGGTCGTCCATTGTCTCTTCGTGGGGCTTGCCGCACGTGGAACAGACCTGGGGTTCTGGACAGATGTCCGGCTTGTGGCCGATCTTATGACAATTGCTGCAGGTCACAGCTCGTGCCCTGTATGGGTATACCTGCAGCACGCTGCGCCTGTTCCAGACGTGTCTGGGTAGATGGGTTCCCTGGAAGGTGATGAGTGCAGTATTGCCTCCTCGGCTCATCGGCCGAGCTGCCACAATCACTGACCCCTCAGTCTCCAGGGCTGCCATCAGTGAAACATTGTCTTCTCCCTGGTCGATGCCATAGATGACACCGCGGATTTGGTTGTCACAGACTGGCTTGTACGCCTGGATGGGTAGAGGTGGTTTCCCAGCAATATGGATTTCGGTAATGCCAAGAAGGGTTTGGGCGGTGGCCTCGGAGTTTACCATGACGGTTATTGTGTTAGTTTCCTTGGTGGTTTTAATAGAGACCGCACCCGGTGCGAGCTGGACGGAGGCGGTGATGGCCTCAATTAGCCCTTTTTTTGGGAGAGTTGTGACGTCTGTCTTGGTCTTTGGGCGCAATGTGATTATGTGGCGCTCTTGCGTTTTGGGTTTAAGCGGGGAGTCCACGGTGCGCGTGTTGAATTTCGCGCTAAGGCGTGCTGTCTTGGCCGCTTTTTTTGAAAGCTTTGTCACCCATGGGTAAGGCGAGTTGTGATCGTTGTCGGTGTTTTCTTCTCTGTTAGCTGTGAAGGTGAACAGCGACATTGAGGCCGCGGCAGCGCCATCAGAGCAAGAGGAGAGCCCACTTGAGGAAGGATTTTGGGCATTTGTTGTCGCCGACGGGGTCATTTCTGACGACCCCGCTTCCATGTCTTGGTCGCCGGGCGCGTGGTTTTCAATCGCGACGTCGGCGTTGTCGAGTTTTTTCTTCGGTGGTTTTCGTGACGGGATGGTAGTGGTTTGCCCCGTGTTAGGCTTGGGAGTAGACGAGGCTTGGTGTGATGGATCCTTAGTCAGGCCGAGTTTCGAGTTGCGTTTCATACGGATCTCAGAAATCGCCGTCTGGAGGCAGGCGTGCATGTCTGCTTCCGATACTTGTTCGAGGTAGCGGCCTACCATCGATTTGCAGAAGTTGAGCATACCTTGCGGCAGGGCCTGGGCGGGCTGGCGCTGGGATGCTGTCATGGCGGTGGATACGGCCGGTGTTGGAGCCTGCCGGAACCATGGCGAAGAGACCGAGCTGATGGGTGTCGCAACTCCTGGTTGAGCCGGTGGCTGGGCCAAGGACTGGCGTAGAACTGCAGCAAATGTGGCTGCAAATTTGTCGACCATGATCGACTTGGGCGCGCTGGGTTGGGTTGCGGAGCATTGAAAGGACACGTCCTTCCTAGTCGGCGGTCAAGCGCGCGCTCCTCCGGTGTGGCATCCTCTAAACGTCGTCGTCGTCGTCGTCGTCGTGCTGCTGCGAGATTGAACGCTTTTATTTCACGCTTTAAATGTCGTTTCCAATATTGTGACGTCGCGGTTTGCCGATTGGTCGACGCGTTGTCACATATTTAGTTTACGCTCTAACCGCGGGGAGAATATTCGGCTCTGGTGGCGGCCTTTGCTCCACCTATTGGTCAAACTCTCCCAATAGACCATTTGCTATATTCCCCAAGCATCAAAGAGAATGCAGGGGTTGGTATTCCACGCGCCACACGCGCACGCCTGCCCCGTATAAAATATTCGAAGTAAATAACCAAAATAAAGCGTTGACGAACGCGCGTGCAAGATACAATTTCTTTCAGGTTTTTGCTTTAGAAAATTTACTACTGTTGAGGCCAATCCTTGTATTCTCCTTGATGCTTGGGTAATATAGCAATAGGTCTATATACAGATCTGCTACTAAGGAAATGTCCAGAGCCGTGTATAGAGATAGTTTGGTCAATGGGAGGCGCGGGCAGAGTCAGGGCATGGACCAGACTCGGAAAGAGGGCTTGGCGTGCTCTCTTGACCAACCAGAAGCCGAAAAGAATCTCCTAGCGGTGGTAGCGAGAAACAGTTCTGATCAAAGGTATATGTTCGTATATGGTTTTAATAAGCACGTAAGAGTGAAGTGTAGTAACTCTTCGTGGTTGAAAATAGGGTGCGCGTGAGGCTTCTATCATGATCATAGAGAAAGATGTAAGAAACGAATGCGTCGCTCAACTCTGCTTTGCTCGGACAGAGTGTGACCACTCGGATGGCAGATTCCCGGCCCTCGGCGCTTGGCGTAAGGATTATGTCGATCGATCCCCTAATCGCACTCTTCCACCATCATTTTGAATGAGCGTGATTGAAACATCACGTGTATCATATTTTCAGTCACCAAAAGTTACTCCGATGCACTTATCAGGTTTGTTTCTCGCGACCACCGCCAGGGTATTATTTCCGGCTTCTGGTTGGTTAAATTCGAATTTCTGAAGACGCCCTGGAACACGCCCAGCCCGCTTTCGGCCAATGGTGCCTCCTCACTTGTCTCCTATACTTCCCAACAAAGGGCAGAACCCTCTACATATACGGCTCTGGAAATGTCATGCGCAGGCCTTGCCTTCTGGGTGGTATTGATGAAGTGAGTGAGGGGGGGAGGGGTACTGCCTTTTGCGGGATTTCCACAAGTGGGGTAATCTGGCAACGTTGGGAATAGCAGACGATGCCAAAAACTGCCGCATGTCTGTTTGCATGACCAGCAGGCGGTGTCAGACTTCCTGACTAGACGTACCGGATGTCGGGAAGATGGAGACAATAGGCTTCCAAGCGTATTCGATCGAGCAGCCAAGCCAATCCAGCAGTAACGGGCGTTGCCACTCATATGTGGGCGGGGCTTAGAACGGGCTGTGATCACTGATCTCCACTAGAGGGGGCTGGATGGCGCATTGAGCAAACAGGTATGAAGCCACCGGAAGTGTGCGGCTTGTCCCGGAAGTGAGCGCTTGGCAGGCTTTGCAACCCTTTCGAGTGCTGGTTCGAAAAGTGTCGAGGGCGCTGGATTTTCGCTTGTTCCCTCAAGAAAGCCTGCTTGTTGCGCAGTAAGAGCGCATGCGGACCCGAGAAATATCATGGGAAGCCATGCAATGTAAACATTTTGAGATTCTAGTTGATCAAATTGTGAATATGTCCCAAATTCAAATGCCGCATTCTCGGGATTTAATCCAGAACGGGAGTATTAAAACCCAATCAAAGGCACAAAAAAACATGGTCCAAAATATCGACTGAATGCACTAGGAAGCCCAGCGCACGCCCGACTTCCGGGAGAAGCACCGAACTTCCGGTGGCTTCACTTGCGCCGGGCTCGGAGAGCAGCTAAGCGCCATCCAGCCCCCTATAGTAGAGATTAGAGTCACTAAATGAGCTGCGTAGCTTATTTAGTGGCACTAGCAGAGATCAGTGGCTGTGACCTCCGCCCAAATTGCGTCTCACAACGTAATTATTGCACTACAATAGTTTTTTCGTGCAAAAATTATGAAAAAAAAAATGATAATAGTACGTATCCCAGATATGTTTTTGACTTTTTTATTTTTTTTATTTTACTTCAGTGTTTTTTTAAGGGTTTCGGCCGTCTGAAGTAAATTCGGCCGACCACAAGTCTGAGTCACAAAAGCGCTGACTCACCCCATTTTGAAGTATGGCTTTAATCTCGTTCCGGACTTTTTCTTGAACGTCTCGGTGTCTTGCCAGAAGGTACAGCAGCCAGGACGAGTACTTGCTCAGGTTCACGGTTCTGAAATAGCACATACGCTCGATGATTATATTTATACAAGGTGCCTGAAACGAGTCCCCGATAGGTGTGTTTAGCTTCCTATTCCACCCACGCATACAAAGTGGTCTTGAAAGGATAACAAATGACGTCACAAAAAGCCCGAGTGTTCTGCTGTACGATGTCGCGACCCTGTTAGTTGGTCGAAGATGTACCGGCAAAAAAGTAGGAGCCAACGCGAGTGTCCCTGTCGTCCCGACGTTCCCAACTCCCGGCAGCCGAAGCTTGCGCGGACCATCCAACTGAAGAGTGCCCTGCGGTATAGAACGCGCGTCTGCTACATTCACCACCACACCTGCGAGACCGCCAGGATCGCGGCCAGCGACAGCGTGACACTTCTATGGCGTCATCGGGCGTAAATCGAGGGACCACTGTCTGGACGCGGGAGACACGCCAGTCGAAGACGCGTTCCAGGCTGCCTACCAATCTCCCGTAATCATTGACAAAGTGCGAACGTCAGGGCGCCCCTTTCGAGCACCCCGATGTTTTGGGCACGGCTAGCCTAAGCAAGGCAGAAGGCGCGCTCTCGTTACCTTCCACCGTGCCTAGGCTGGCCGTGCAAGCTCGAGGCTCACGAGACGGCCGAAGCGTCGTCGAAGGTAGGAAGCTCGCTCTGGAGGCTGGACAACCGAAGCTCCTCCCCGCCGTTCTCATGCTGTCGGATCTTACAGCCGTCAGCTACTAGCTATGCCGATACAAATCATAAAAATTGCCAAAACTGGTAAGAAGCAATATAAGAAAAAAAAAAGACCGGAGGACACTCAAGAGTGCTAACGTGTACGAAAGCGAAAGCATTCGTATACATAGCGAATTCCTACAAGCTGTACGCTGCGCTGAGCACGGCCGGGCGACCTCTGCGGAGGCTGCCTGGCCAGCTTGTCTCTCTCTTCCCGGCAGCCGGGCCGCTGCGGCATGAAGAGGGCTTCCCTGTGGGGTGGCGTTCCTTGGAGCTATACGCGTCCCTGCCAATGGCTATCTAGAAGCCATTTCGCTGGGACGTTCTTTCGCGTTCTTTCGCGGTTACAGCGGTTACAGACGTCGTCGGCTACTGGGAGTTTCTTGCACGTTTTGCTCGGTTACAGACGCCGCAGGCTTCGCAATAAAATTTAAATTTCGCGAGGACCCTAACAGCGGTCGAAGCTTCGCTAAAAGGCTTGGCTTTGTTAAGCAGGTTTCACATGCAGCGATTCCGCAGTCGCAATCGCTGCCGCTAGCGGCGCAGCGGCACGGATCGCGAGGTTTCATTTTACTTGAGCGTTTTCTGCCCTTGCGATGGCCAATGTTGTTTGCAACAAGCAGCATACATGGGTAAATTACTTTCAAAATGTAATTTAATTACAATTACAATTACCTTGCTTCAAAGGTAGTTTAACTACAACTACAATTACTACTACGTGAAAAGTAATTAATTACAATTAGAAATTACTTTTCAAAAGGAATGAAAGTACTTTACCATTACTTGTTTCTGAGAGTGACCCGACTTGGATCATATAACTTTAAACAAGTTGTATAGAGTGCAACGTATTTGTTCATTCCTTGCCCCAATGGTTGAGGAGGCTTAAGCACCGCGGCATACATGTAACGTATTGTACTTTCCTTTTAGGAATTTTGTTAAATTCATGATAGAAATTGACAGTTTGGGGCAATGAAGTACTATATATTTATATTCTTAATAAATAATAATAAATTAGTTCCTACGCTGGAAGACGCCAGACAGCTAACGAAAAAATTGGGTTGACACGCTTTTGTTAGCTCGGCAAGTAAAAATGCGACAATTGGTCATATATGAATATTTTATAAGTATTATTCCAAACGCGCTAATACGACTGCATTCACATAGAAATATCATGGTATTGTAAATTATTTACCCTGAGTTGAAATTATAACGGCTCAGAAATTATATAAGAACCGAATCCAGACTTCCGAGTCACTGGTGACAACATTCACAGGTGCGAGGTCAGTCTCCAAAATGCTTATGCAAATAATATCCAAAGTGAAACCAACTGGAAATTAACTTAAAAATAATACAGAGACACAAATATGTGACAGTACTGGAAGAAAAACATATGAAACTGGCAAAAAAAACAACAACATAGACACATAAAACTTCTAAGCTCGGCTGAAAGCTGAAGCTCAATTGTTTACTTTTTCCAATATTTTGGCATATTTACACTACTGTTTTTGCACGCTCCACAGACAGCGCCACACGGCGCCGTTGAGGTAGACTCCAAAGAGGATTGTCTCTCAGCCCGCAATGTAAGCAACGAAAGAACAAACAACGCAATACTATTTTTGTTACGCGTGTATGTGCATGCGTGTCTATGTGTGCGAGTGTGTCACCGAGCGCTAGGTCGCTTGTGCGAGCGCCGAAGCTTTCAGAGAAGTTCCGTCGGCTCAACAAAGTCTTGCAAAAGTAATTGTAATTGTGCCTGAAATTTCGCAATTACTGGCACTAGAAAGTAATTAAATTACAATTACAATTCCTTTTAGCCGAAAGTAATTAATTACAATTACAAATTATCAAGAAAAGTAATTTAATTATAGTAATTCAAAACTGTAATTGAATTACTACCCAAGTATGACAAGCAGATGCGCACAGTCGGTTACACGGCTTCTCACAACAATTTTAAAGCCATAGTTTTTAGTTTCTCCTCCAATTTCACCTTAATAAAACAAAAAAAGCGTTTAAAATACTAAATAAGCCTTGGTCTTATTTGTTTGTGTTTTTTTTTTCGAACTTTGTTGTCGCGGAGGATGAAACCTGGCATCATCCTCGGCAGCGTCACGGGCAGTGCCTTCCTCGGATGTAAAGACTCTAACTGATGTGGCCGACCCGAACCTACTGGACGGCATTGGAATTGTTGGTATTCCCGAAATGTGCAGTGGCTTCATACCGGTCTTTTCGATCACTTTCACGGTCTTAGTCACCTCTTGCCAGAGCTTCTCTTTGGTCCCATTGCTCCTAAATTCTTTGAGGTGAGCGTCGATAAGAACCCGACGCTTCGAAACTTCACTGATAATCAGTTCACTGAACTGGGCGCGACATATTTTGTCGTAATCGGTGTGACGATCTCTATTGGAAAAGACACGTCAATGTAGCTCAGTTCTTTTTCTTTTTTTTTTTTTTTCTTAGTAGCGCTCGCACAAGCCGTTTACGATTAGCGTCTCTTGCGCTCTCTACAGTTGGTACTCAGGTAAGGAAGGTAAAAAAGAGCCGCGTAATTCGTTGAGAAAACGAATTCCGAGGAAGGGGCCAGCAATCCCCCTCCTCTATAATCTCCTGAACAGTTCCGACGCGACTGCTGAAGCAAAGAACCTCGACCCGCCGGAAAAAACGAAACCGCAAACCAGTCACTTGCGTACTTTCTGTGCTTGTCGTCTGCTTCAAGACGCGAAAAAGCGGACGTCCTATGCGCCAGCTTTCCCGCAATGTCTTTCCTTCCGTCACGTGATTCCCGCCGCGCAGTGGGAGGCCAGCAAGGAAGCTCCCACTCCGCCGCGGTTAAAAATTTCCAACCTGGTGGAACCGTGCCGCTCAGCCGCTGCGGCTGGCCAGAGCGCCGTGACGGCAGAAATCGCGCCGCTCTAGGACTAAAATCGCTTCATGTGAAACCTACTTTAGAGCTGAAAGGAAACCGGAACCCTCCGTCGCGCTTCCAATCCATCATACGAAAAAGAGTCTGCAGGCACTAGAGATTTTTAGGGAGCCGTTTTTGCACACCCGATACGGTAGACTCGAACATGCGCAGTTTGTAGCGGACGCCCTATCGTACCGTATCGGATGTGCAGAAACGGTTCCCTAAAACTCTCTGCACTGTCCGAGGCGTACGTTTCTTTCTTGTATGGCGGTCCATCTGCAGTCACGTTCGAAGCGTCCATATATGCATAAAGCAATGCCTAAAGCATGCGCGAGAAGCTTGTCCGCGAATAATTCTGCCATCTTATGTGCAGCGAACCCCTTGTCTCTTGTTCGAGGGGGGACCCCAAAGTGACCGGAATTATTGTTCTGGAGTGCGGGCCGTTCGTAGTAGCCTCCAGCTTCCGCCGCTGGCAGCGCTTAGCGGTACTTCTTCCGAGTCGGTTTGCCGACCGGCGTCGTCCGCTAAAACATCTAACAGCACGTGTTGCATTTTTTTATCACGGAGTGCTTCAAGATTATTTCTTGTTTTTTTGGCAATGCCTGACTGGGAGCACCAATTCCACGTCCACAGACTGCTGTCCTTTCAGAACTTGTTTCACACACAAAAAAAAAAAATTTTAAAAAAGTCAGATGGGGGGGAGGTTTGGTGAATAAGCCGGAAAAGGGGGGGGGGGGATCGATCTCATGCCATTATTGTTTCAAATTTTTAGCACTGACAGGGCAGTGTGTGCTGGGGCATTGTCATGACGCAACCACCACTCCCCCTTTTCCCCACAAATCAAGGTGTTTCTCTCTCACTGAGTTGCGCAAGTTTTCATGAAACTCCCAGGTAAAATGCCCGATTGACAGTTTCATCAAGAGGAACAAACTCGGAGTAAACACTGTCCAAATTTTCTCGATGTTTTCTTTAATTGGCGAGATTTAGGGTCACCCTGAACGAGGTTGGTCCTGTATCAATAATTCACCGTCCTTGATGAAAGAAAACCACTCGTATACCTGCGATTTCTTAATACCATCTTCTTTGTATGGTGTCTAAAGCAATACACGAGTTTTCGTCGCCGTTTTTTTACCTAAAAGGCACCGTAATGTCACGGCTGCGCGGTGTTCCTTCAAGCCAGACATTGAAAAAAAAGAGGAATGACTTTAAATCGCTTGAGGAGAACAATTAGAACATTCCGCTAGAGCTCTACCAGACGACGCCGGTCGTCAAACCAACTCCAAAGGGGTTCCGTTAAGCGATGCCAGGGGCGGACGCTGGTCCAACGAACGGCCCGCCCCCCACAAATTCATTCCGGTTAATTTTGTGTCCCCCCTCGTGTGATTTTTGAGCGACGTGACTGCGCCTGCAAGTCTCCTTTCCCGCAAAGCACTTGGGAGAATCAATCTCTACAATCTAGGGTACTCGTTCAGCGAATGACGCGACTGAAAATATGTTTTCATCTTGTAAAGAAAGTTGGCGTTATGATACTGAATATGACGTTTTACGTGCTCACGTCATATTCTGTGCCGGTGAGCAGGCTGTCTTTTTTAGGTCTAAGCATATTTCTAGCCGCCTCATTGGCCGGGTTCGCTCCGTAGATTGCAGCGATTCGCTTTGCCAAAAGCTTTGCGAGAAAGTAGACGTACTGAACTGTCTAGAGTGAACAAAAAAAAATAACACTAGGGCACTCATACTTGGCGTGGGCGCTGGGTTTTTCTGGGAGTACAAAACAATAAAGGATAAAACGTTGATTCACAACTGACTAGCTCAGCTGGGGACACGCAAGACAGAGGAAAATTGTGACTCTCGCGTGGCTCCGGCCCAAGGTCTCAACCGTGGGTTCGGTGTTAGGGTGACGAGCCGACAGGGCTTGTGAAAATTCAAAATTGACGACTCCCTCGCTGGCCGCGGGGAGGGGATGGGGAGGGGGAAGGAAGATTAATTTTTTATTTTTTTTGCTTGGTATCTTAATGGTTAACCTGACGATATCCCACAGTGCCTGGTGATAGCTACATACATGTATTAACTTAAAAGGGGAAGAAGTTTGTCTTTTTATTATGATTCTAGACTAAGTTGCGCAGGCTACTGCTCATTCTAAAGGGTACAGCTGTTTGTATTCATACTGTCCCTCCATGCATCCATTCGATCATACATCCATTTCCTATTAGGATGATTACTCTTGTTACTTGCCCTGATGACACGATGAGTGAAACGTTGCTCTCTACCTCCACAAGACTCATGATGGCTTGTTTTGGCGGCGTTGTTTTCCCTTCTGAAAAAAATGAACGCCGTTTACAACTACCTGTAACACCGATTCAGAGCGCAGCTCTTGAGGACGAAGAGGGAAGCGTACTGAGGGGAAGGTATAGCCCTGCTCCGTCCTCCTCAGCTCCTCATCCTGTCTGCTATTCCTCCCTCCGAGCGGTGTCACCGTCGCCTCACGAGGGTCACGTGACCTCACGGGCGTCATGCGACGTCACCGGTGTCACGTGACCCTGTGAGGTCACGTGACAATGACGTCATCACGATGGCGTCATCGACATCGTCATTGTGATGACGTCTGCAGGTGGCGGGAGACGTCGAAGAAGGTCGAAAGGGTGAAACGGTGGAAACGACAACAAAGAAATAAACAAGAAGATATTTCTCCTGCCCCGGATAAGAAGAGGAACACGATGGAAGGCGATGGAGAGACTACTCGACGTTGTCTTACTTGATCTGTGTCTTTCGTATATGTTTAAATGCCTTGCCCGTTTTTCTAGAGGTTCTAGTAACCGGTCATACAAAGAATCGTGTTTTCTTTTCGGTTATTCTCCCCTTCCTGATGTTTCCTATTTTGTTGAACTTGCTCTGTTTATGCTGTTGAATGTTCCGCTCGTTTCCCTCCAATTACTGTATTAGGCTCATAAGGAGTAATGAAAATATTCGGTTACCAATATTTTTGCAAACTAAATTACATTTCAAATTACTTCCGAAACAAAGAACGTGGCAGTCACAAGATTACTTAAAAAAGTAACGGATTACAAGTAATCCGTTACCTGTAACGGATTACTTTTTAAGTCTGGATCCGGTGGAGCCAATCAGGAAACCTCAAAAGTGCATTGTCACTGTGCTCGTCGGTTTTGTCCGTCCGCCATCACGGCCTAATTAAAAAACGCGCACAAAAAACAAAAACGATCCCAGATTCGCGTTGGATTTAGTGTGCGTAATTGATTTAGTCGGCGATGACAAACACATAAAAGCGACAAGTGTGCAATTCCACTTTTGACGCTGCCTAATTCTGGTTTTATTGGATTGTAGCGATGTTTGCGGTCGGACTGTTCACACAGCCCCGTTTTTCTTTTTACGTTATGCTACGTTACTAAATCTTACGCCTGCTTCCGGCATAAGTCACCGAGGCATCTGTGCTTCGTGCTAAGCGTGGCTGCTACAAGTTCGGGGAGACGCACTAGCGTGCAACATTTGAGACACGAATGTTTCGCTGACTTGAACGTAACCTAAGAAAACGGTGCTGTGTGAACCGGCCTTAAAGGGAACTGGAGTATGATGCGACGAATATTCGTCGAACTTGACGTTAACTGTTTTCGAACCTGACGAATATCTGTCAAATCTGGTGGTTCGAACCTGACGTTAGTTGTTACCGAACCTGAAGAATACTTGTCGAGCCTGATTGTTCGGCGCGCCTTCGAACTTTTGGCAAAGTTTAACGAAGTTCGTCTTCTGAGGAGCGTTGTCGATGAACATAGACTTTTGACGACCATTTTCATAGGAAAAAAAATTGAGACGCACGGGAAAAATAATTTCTGCGGGTGTTTCGTTATCTATTTTACACACGACGAAAGAAAACCAAAAAATATACACTCACGAAAACTTCAAGTGATTTTGTTCGTTCGTTAATGCGAAATGAACCCTACGAGAATTTCACCCCTCCTCCGCTAGGTGGCGCGCCAGCTCGTTATTGATGGTTGTAAAAATGGTAGATGAATGCATGTGCTTAGCTGCGATATGGGATTCGTTGCAATTCTCCGTAAAATCAGAATTTAATCGGAGATTATTTAATTGTTGAGTCTCGAAGCAGGTGCCACAAGCTGCCGCCCGATTAAAGGGGTTTCGCCTTACCCATCCGTCTATTTATTCAATTTCCACGCATGCGCGGAATAGTCATGCTTCACTTGAACATTGGTAGAACTTTTTCGTATCACTTCTTTCCAGACAGCCTTTCATAGTTTGCGTTCTGTGTTAAAAGGCGGTCGAAATTGAGACACCTCTAATAAGACCGGATGTCTAAATGATCATTCATACCCTCATCGGCGCCACTGCGGACGCCAGTTGTATTGGGACCTCCGCCATCACTCTCCTCTGCGTCGATTAAAAACTGTAGCAAATCCTTTTTCTTGCGTTCCTGCACCATTTGGAATAAAAGAGAGAATTATTGAGCCGTAGCAATTTTTATATGTGTTTATAAAGGTGAATTCTTAGCGCTGTGCATTAACAGTTTCTTTTCTATTCTATCTTTTTGTATCCTCCTTTTCATATATATTAATAATATTAAAGAGATAAGATAATCCGCCAACCAAAAATTGAAATAGTAGCGACCCTGGTCCGGTGTTTCTATAGTGAATGAATTCAGCCGGTGCAGCCTGACCCACCCATCTCTATTGTAGTAGACTGGATCGCGGATCGAGGATTGTCTTGCTGGGTTCGAGTGGCACCACCGGCAGCCATCACTTGACACCAGCCAATGTATGGAACTCTATGCGAAGAACGAGAAAAGGTGCCGTATCCCGCTTTTCTAAGCTGTTGTCAACGCTGAAACGTTTCGGCTGTTTTTCGGGGAGCCTGTCCAATAGTTAGCGCACAAACATTACAACTGACAGCCCTCACATTTCTTATAAATAAATATCTTGTGCTCAAGAGTGACTCCGCTGGATAAGAAATGTAGTGCAGCTCAGTCGGGTAAGAGTTTCCTAGAGTTACCACAGAGTAGTGGCGGTTGCGATGAGTTGGGTTTAGCAGACGACAAGATTGAAGGCTTTGCTACGTGGAATTCGCTTACTCCCGGAAGGCCGCTGTCACCGTCAAACTTTTTTGACATTCATCAGCTTCTGGGCTTCCCCGAGGACAGCCTTAATGGGGGCAAGGCTCTTCGCTCAGTCCACGACGAGAGCAAGCTTGTCGGCTCAGCCGTGGGTACTCCGGCATGTTTGATTTTTTTATGGGCGTCCGAAGACTCGACAAATACCGATTCGATCTCCAAACACCCGATATTATGATCGCAGCACGTCATAAAATACTTGCCTTTGAGGGCCGTGTACAAGTTCCAAGATTTCTACTCTTTTGTGTTTCTCCCATAGACTTGCGTTTATTGCCTGGTGTCAAGCAACGGCCGCCAGTGGTGCCACCGATGGGCTTCCGATTCGCGATCCAGCCTGTTACTATAGAGATCAGTGGTCCCACCGCTAGCTAGGAGTCTTTAAAGGGACCATGCAATCATATTTTAATTTCCTCCTTAGCATTCTGCCTCAGCTCAAAAGCGAGTTAGGAAATCACGTGATCGTGACGTAGTATTTTAGCGGAACCGGAAGTTCTCCCAACCGTCTGAGGGTTGGCGGGGTTAGCCGTTCGTGTTCGCTGTGTCCGATGCAATCGCCGATAAATGTTATGCTAGCCCACGGCGACAACATCTCCAGCCTTGTTGCCGTGGTCGACCTCCCACGGTTCCTGGCCAGTCTGATTGATTTTTAATTCATCGACGTAAATAAGAGCATTGTCAGATGGTCAACTTTGACGGTTTTGGTCTCGAAATACGACGACTCCGAGCTTCCGCCGAGCTTTTTAAGCTCACCAAGGAACTGGTCATAGGCAAGTGACGATAAGTGCCGTCACGCCACTCATTCAATCAATCCCTCGACAAACAATATCCGTTGACACATTGATTGTTGACGAGCGGATACGTCGGAGTGAGCTGGGTTCGGCAGACGTGCTTGTGTACCGCAGATGTATCACAGTGAAAAGGCGGAAAGCTTTTGAACGAAGAGAGAAAAAAAATAGTCCTATATATTTTTCAAAATTTCGTAAAAAAGCAAGCTTTTGTCCCTCTACCCACCTGTACGAGTTTGTTTAATCCATTAAACGATATGTGATTAGTAAAATCTCAATCAAATATCATTTTTTCCAGCCCAGAATTCATTTCATGCTCCCTTGAACGTGCATCAGGTATTAATGATACAAGACCTCATATGCCGCCATGATCCTCATACCGATCTAAACGGTCAGGAAAAGGGATTCCCGCTTTCAGCAGTGCCCATTTATTGCATTCTGAAGACATTTTTATGCAAAACCTGAGGAAATCTATATCTTGATAAAAACATGTGCTCAAAACACGAGGACTGCAGACGTTATAAAAAAAGAACGTCCAATGTTAACAAGAATGGCGAAGGATGTAACAGTTATTGTTACTATTCACATAGGTTAGAGCTACACGCTGTTATGATTCGGAAAAAGAAAAAGAAGAAAGAGAGATGAAGGGCAAGACGATTGGTAGAGCAGTGCGAGGGCATTAAAGCTGAACCGAGAGCCACGACGGTCGGCTGTTCGAACGGTGCTCTACCCGGCACCTTCCCGGCGTCAGTGTTGTTGAACGTTAACGTAACCGGCTTCGTCCCGGCTTCAGCACGGTGACCATCAACGTAACAGGCTCCTTCCTGGGATCGAGGAACACGGACCCGAAACAACCTACTCCTTTCCGACATCCCGGCACTCACTACTTTACCAACGATCAAGGGACCAACATTCAAGGGCACCAGCGACCCGAGCTACGACACGGGTGGTGACTATACTGCCTACCGAACGAGCTTCTTTTTTTTTTCCTTGTTTATTTCCGGACTTGGATTAATTTTTTTTTTTTTAGTTCATGCAGATATTTGGGCTCCCGAGCCTTCCTCTCACCCTCCCGGACGAACCTGACACTCGCGTTCTTATTACCGCATGAAGGTAATCGAACACATATAAGATTACTATATTAGGGGATGTTTGCTCAACGACTCATATTTAGCATACTGCATGATTATGAAGATGCTTTTCAGTTCGGTGTTTTTTAAATCATTTATTTTTGTTTAATTATCGCGAGTGTTTGCATGGTTTGATCTATAATTTTTTAACTTACTTGTTTTTCGTTTGTTTTGGAAAAAAGCTAAACACACACAAAAATATCATCGCACTATGTTTACAGGAAGAAAATACCAGATTTAATTTGGCCAGCCTAGGCTCAATATTCAATTCGTTCTACGATTTCGAAAAACGACACACTAACCCGCGATGTTTCTTCTTGCGGTAGAGCTTCCGTAAACTGTGGAGCTGGAGCGCGGTCTACATTAGCGGATTTGTTCGGAAAAATCGTTTCTTAGTTTTTTCTGTTTTTTTTTTTTTTGGCCCTCTTAAAGAAACTATAGGCATTGCAAAGAAGCTGAAACTCCGTTAGACTATCACACAAGCGGTGGGGATAGGGTGCCAAAGTTTGAGATTATGACGTTACTTGGATCAACATTTAAAAAAGAAAGGCGAAATATTCCTATGTGCCCGACGTTCATCTATAGCCTAATATTGCCAAAACATGAAATTTCATTGTTTACGCCTGTGGAATTTATTAAAAAAAAAAAACTTGCCAGAGTGAAAAATTATTCGTGTTACCGCAGTGAATGCCACAGGTTGAAATAATGTAATTTCTTTTGCTGACGAAATTACGTGGATGTCGGTTCACAGAGAAATGTATTTATATATGCACAGGGTGTTTCACAAAAAAAAAAAAACAAATTTCATATTGCAAAAACTCCGCGTCGCAACAAAAACAAAAAAGTATTTTGTCGTTTAGGTCCTGGGCCAGGAGCCTATTTAGGAAAATTTTTGCAGTTTGGGATAATTAGATTGTCAATTATTTTTGAGTAATTAACTTGTAAATATTGTGATTGAAAGCATGGTTTTATTTAGACGATTGCTCAGTATCGTCAAAAAACACTAAATCAACAAATTGCAGAATGATAGAAGGCACGCTCAGCATTTTTACGGCTTTCTGAAAAACCGCACCAATTCGACAGGTTTTTAAGTTTCAGTTTCCAATCAGAGCGCTTCTCGTCCCCGACGGCACCGCACCCCTTGGAGAAATAGTGCAACCAGCATCTGCTGCGTTGAGCGAGGACAGCGCAGCGCAGGTTGGGAAGCGCAGCCATACCGATATATATATATATATATCCATACCGAAGAATCCGGTATAACTTTTCGCTATCCGGATTATGGAACCTGAATTCTATCTGAATTCTATCCGGATTCTATCTTGAATTTAGGTTTTCAGAAATTATTCCTTTGTCTGCAATCTGGATTTTGAGTTTCCAGAAACAAATTTCTGGTTCCATAATCCGGATAGCGAAAAGTTATACCAAATTTTTCGGTAGGGATATAACTGAGAAAGAAAAAAAAACACCTTAGTGAAAACAGCAACAACGGACGATTTATTCTTCGACGTTTCGACCGGAACCCGGCCTTCGTCAAGAAGACTATATATATATATATATATATATATATATTGGGAATGAGTGAAGATTGACAAGTGCAGCCTAGTAATATTGTGAACGAAGAGGGGAGAAGGTGATTCTTGAATTTATTGCATTAAAGTTAGGGAAAGGGAAAGGGATATATATATATATATTATCTAGGTAACGTTATGTTTTCAAACTTTGGCATGCAATGCACACCAGCGTCCCATTCTGACGAAGTTTCAGTTCTGCATTGCGTAGTTTGTTTACGTGAAACAAGAAACCGGGCTTCATTTACCCTCTCTCAACCTCTAACCAAGCGCCTGCAGCGCATCCGCCACAACTGTTGCCTCATCGCCAGTATAGAGGCAGCCAACAGCGCCGCACGTGTTTGACGCCATCTCGAAAAAAATAAAGGGACCACAAACCAGGACGCGGTAACAACACTAGTCGAAGGCTGACTCCAGGCACTCATTGGGGTCTTTTAGCTAACAGTTACCTTTGTTCCGCGTACCGCACAACTGGAGCCTTTGGAACATGCTTTTAAGCACACCCTCCCACCCTTAGGGTATCACCCAAGCGAGCACTTAAAAGCATGCTTCAAAACCGACTTGTGCTCCTTACTTTAGAAAAGTAATGGATTACAATTACGAATTACCGAGCCTCGAATATATTGGATTACCGTTACAAATTACTTTCGCTGTAAAGTAACGGATGACTTTACTCGTTACGTTACAAATTACTTAAACGTTACTTTTTGCCGCACACTTATCCAGAAAATAATAAAAGCAATTTTGATAATCTCAAAATTGTTCTGACCAACTACTTTTAATTTCTCATACACCCATAATGGTAGTCTTTGTAAAAATAAAATATTATATTTAAGAGAAGGAGTGTAGGTGCACTCCGTTCACATGTAAGCTGACAAGGCACCGAAAACTGGAACCACACCCGCCATCTTGCTAGCTTAGGGCTTCCGGAAATGATCCCTGGAATTGGGCAGACAAAGCTAGCGGTGCTCATGCTCAGTAGCAGCGTCTATCTCCGCTACGAGATTCGGAGCTAAAGGAGCGATCTCCTTAGGGGTGTTTCGACTGTTATTCACAAGAAAAGAAAAGCTTGGTTCTAACGTTTCATTGTATAGCCAATGCAGAATGCAGGTGTACAAAGCTTACCTTGATGTATTTCCTTAGATTAGGTTTTGTGTTCTTGCTGATGACAATGCGTGTTTTTTGGCAAGCAAAGTATGCACTGAAACTCTAGGTTTCCGTTCTCCTTAATGCCCTGAATTTCGAACATCTTAAGAGAAGGCTATGAAGACGACGAACACTCCATGTCCGAAAACTCGACCAGTCAGAGAAAAAGTGGCGGTTACGGGTTATAGATCGTTCATCGGTTCTCACCTTCGTACCAATATGCGTGGAGGACAGGGGAGGAGAGGGCATCGAGAGCGAGAATAGCGGTAACCATCGGTCTCACGAAACAATGAAGAATCACACCACTTTTACTCGTTCTCTCTCTCTCTCTGTCAGCACTCCTTAGATGGCCTGACCCCCCCCTTTCCCCTTTCTATGTTAAAAGTTGACTGTAGAGTGTGGAAATGACTCTACCACCATGCCCAGACAAGTAAACCTAAAAAGCATCATCCGTACCCACGCCCACGATGCTCGCAGCCTCGCGCCGGGCGCTTTCAGCCGTGCCCACAGATCTCTATCGCAATAATTTCCGCGTAGCAAAGCCTTCAAAATTGTCACATGCTAAACCCAACTTGTCGGGACCGCCACCGATTCCGCGCTAACTTTAGGTATAACTCTCGTCTCATTGAGCTGCACTACATTTCTCGCCCAGCGGAGTCACTCTCGACCGCTAACATTATTTCATAAAAAAAAACTCTGAGGGCTATCAGTTTTAATGTCAGTGCACAAGCTAGCTGGCAGGCTTCCTGAACAGCAACCAAAAATTTTCAGTGCCGACAACAGCTTAGAAGCGGCACTTTTTCTCGTTTTCCCCATAGAATCTTATGCATTTGATAGTGCCAATCAATGGCCGTCAGTGGCGAAACTTGGCCCAAGCTGCCGAGGCCGCGGTCCGCGATCCAGCCTACTACAATAGAAATCAGCGTTCGTGTCTCGAGAGCGTGCCTGTCTAAAGCAGCGGACATGAAAGACAAAGAGAATTCGACCCCCTTGTGCTATGCTACATATCGCCTGTTACGCGAGTTGTGAACCCACAAATCGAGGGGGTACGGACCCACGTTTGATGTCTGTGCAGGTGGCGAGAGACGTCGAAGAATTCGGTAAGGGTGAAACGGTGTAAAAGACAAAAACAAATAAACGCGAAGAGCTTTTTCCTGTCCTGGAGACGAAGAAAAATACGATGGAAGGTGACGGAGAGCCTACTCGGCGTTGTCTTACTTGAGCTTTGTCTTTCGTATATTTGTACATGACTTGCCCGTTTTTCTATTGGTTGTAGTGACCGGTCATACAAAAAATCGTGTTTTCTTTTCGGCTATTTTCTCCCTCTTGATACGTTTTCTATTTGGTTGAACTTGTTCTCGTTGTGCTGTTGCATGTTCTGCTCGTATCGCTCCAGTTACTGTATTGCGCTCTTATTTTTAATAAGTAACGAGTAATTAAAGCAATCCGTTACCAATATTTTGTAATGAAATTACATTACAAATTACTTCCGAAAAAAACAGTAACGTGACAATAACAGAATTACTTGATAAAACGGATTACAAGTAATCGGTTACTTGTAACGGATTATTTCCCAAGTCTGCTTCAAAAGCTCCGGTAGTGCGGTAAGTGGAAGACGTTAACAGTTTGCTAAAAGGCTCTATTGAATTGACTCGCGCATTTTATTCTCGGACTTCTGATATGCTTTTGACTCACCGGGGGATCCAATTTTCGAGCGTATATAATTGGAGCCATGGCATCTAGAAGCTCACAGACAGCAGGTTTCTGGACGCTCTCAATCATCCTCAGCACAAATTGGAAGACGAGAGTGAATTCCGGGAAGCAATCTGCGGGAAAAATAAAGTACAAAAGGTTTTCGAGTAACGAAAAGGGTTCGATGGATGGTTTTCCCAACTCTTTCCATTTTAGCATAGCGAACTCTGGATAGGAGGTCGCCTCCTCTCTAGCGTTCGCTCTGCTAAAGTGGAAAGAGGTGGGAGTAGTTCCCCCTGATCTCTTAGCTCTTGTAATATGTTAGGGCGAGAGTACATGGCGGGTCGGTGGCGCCATCGATGAGCTGACCCTCGCACTGCATCTCACTAGGTCACAGGTTCTGCGGTATTTCCAATTGGGGCCGCGACGCGCGGCGCGCGGACGCATATGTTGACACTGGCTTCTCGAGAAATCGATGTTTTATGCGGAAATTCTTGTTTTTGTACAAGGAAAGGGCTGTAATCGACAGCGTTATTGATCCGGTTCACCTGGATACCTTCCTCAAGTAGGTGTGCAGAATATTTTTCTATTTTAGAGACGCTTCTAGTTGAAACCTACGAGGAGCCTCGCTGGGCCTTGTTTGGGCTTGGCTCGACTGGGGCGCTGAGCCGGGCTTGCTCGGTGCGGCCGCCCTACTAGGCCTAACCGGCTAAGCCATACCGCGTGGGACCGCCGCGGCTGTGGCGAAGGAGAACACAAGATAGAAGTAACTCCACCGGAACCTCTCGTGTTCGGTTCCGTGACCGAGTACGACCCGGACAAGCTGACTTTAGGCTTCATTAATCCCGCAACGCAGCCCCTCTCGACAGATAGAATTCAAGAAGCCGCCTCGGAAGTACAAAGAGACATACTACCTGGCAAGCAGCAGGGTACTAGTTCTGCATAGAAAATATATCGAGAACAAAGAAATCTATGTCCGCAGTAACAAGAGCGCGGACCTACCGGAGTAGCAACTAAGGTCAAGAGGAAAGAGGCGAGGAGACCTTATAGGCTTGTCACAGAACAATGCGGATGTCTACGCCGTTAAGAAGGAGCATTTATTGCTGGCAAATGTCGCTGAATATCGGAAAGAACATGTCGCAAAAGGTAGACCCGTCGGTGAGCTTGAAGCGAGCGGCGAATCCTTTCACATCCGGCGGAATTTTCAGCTTTTCCGATGTATTCACATAGTCTATTTTTGTAGAGCATCGCAGAAAGATAATTATCTCTACTTACCTGCTTTGCTTTAAGCAGAATATCAAGGTAGGAACGATAGGCATAGTCTTCCTACGTGCTGACCAGAGATTAATTCAAATTAACGTGTGGGTATTAAAAGAGGGAGCTTCTAAAGGCCTCAACCCCAATCACTTCATCGTTCGTAACCGACCTGTAAGATGCAACAGTCCTCGCAGCATCACCTCTAGCTCGAACGATTTTAGATTGAATGTGAAGGAAGCTCGAACTCAAATCGTAAAAGTGTAGACCCCAAAAAGGGACGCGAAATGTCGAAACGGACGTGGAGCTTGCACCAGCGACGGGAAAGAACTCAAGACATTCCGATTTTTCCTGGGCAAATGAAGTAGGCGGCAGCGAGAAATGTTCTAGTTCGCCGGTTCTAGACAAACGGGATTGTTCGTGGAGGGCAAAAATTCCGCTCGACATTCTTAAGGTATGAAAAAAAGTCTAGAACCTTTCGTTTCTTTTCTCGTGGCCAGACTAAGAAAGGTTTCTTGGACTTTTTTTCCTTTATGACCTGCACCGCAGAGCTCTTGCAGAAGATCGTCCCTCGTATTTCGATACGTCTGGCCAATAGCTTTCTTGAGGGTATCCGGAAACGCGGAAGCTTGCCTGACGCGCTCTGCTACATCTTTGCCGGTGACAAGTTTTTGACCTAGGTACGGAGCCACTGGCTCCGTAAACACCGGCGATATTCTTTGATAGATGTCGGACAGTAGACCGCTCCCCACTTGGAACAAAGGCCCGGACACAAAATGCGCCAAATGTTTCTCTCTGGAACCTGAACAATGGTTCACACAGCACGGTGCAGACTTTACGTGTATTTTCTAATACACGTAAAGTCTGCACCTAATACACCGGATCCGCCTAGAAATGGAATGCAAGTTAAAATTTTTGTTTCAACGAGTCCCAGACAAACGGTGTTAACTTCCTTTACGGTCACCCTCTTATATTTTAACAAATTGAATGAATACTATATTGTCACACATGACAAGTGATGAGGCGCCGAATAACTGAGTAAGCTTAACGTTAAATGGGGCGAACTTGTGCCGAAAACAAAAAGGAAACAGAAAATATAAACAGAGCTTCGTGGGCGTGGAAGTCGGCGTGACAGCAGAATCGAACCCTGGGGCGAAACTGACTCCAGCTTGCCACGCGGAGCCCCTTTTGTACACCCGTGGGCTTCTGGAGCAATCGGCGTAGAGGGTTCGGGGTGTAGAACATTCTAACCTCGAATCAGCAACACGCGGTTCTTGAATTTACCAGAACGTCACATTAGAGTCAACAAAAAGGCGTACCCGCGGCCAGGAATCGAACCCTGGCTTTCTGCGTGGAAGGCAAGGAGGGTGATAACCGTTAAGCCACGTGTGCGCTTTTTTTTAATTGCCTGTTCGGACATGTACAATGCAAAAGGATCACACTGTTAAATTCACTTCATAAACATCACTTCTGCCCGGTCGCAAAATTTAAAATTCTTCAAGGTCTCAAGTACATCTAGAATTGACACCCAATCAGGTGCACAAACCAAAGTGGCGTATACAGATTTTAGTCTGCAGATAGAGTTATGAAATACATACGTACGGGTCGGGCATCAACGTCGGCATGCCTCACTGCCACTTTACTTCTCTATATCATATAGAGAAGTAAAGTGGCAGTGAGGTCGATCTAGTTATGCTTCTGGGCCTGCATGCCATATAGACTATATGGCATGCAGGCCCAGAAGCATAACTAGATCGACAGAGATTTCAACTTGTTTCTCCTCATTAAGAAACCTAATGCCGCACGGGGTTAAAGGCAAGTATTTTTAATGTTTCGCTGGAGGACGTACGCCCCAGAAAAGGAAAGCGTCCCAGCAGTCGAGTAAAACATGATCGATATTTTCAGATTTTTTGCACAAAAAACAATCAACGCCCCATGGTACGTAGATGTTTTTCCCCTCAAGCCAAGATTTTGACAGGGAGTGTATTGGTGTGTAGCTGAAAAAAAATGTTTTAATAGAAGGAGCAACGGTCATCTTTTAACTCTAGATACCACAATACGGTCTGGGTCTGCATGAAACATGAATCACTACAACAGTTCAAGAAAAAGACTTTCAATAATGTCACTAGTTTAGCGCTTGCGTTAACCGTCGACAAGTATTAAAGAGAAAAACGCACAGACACAAACCGACACGCTTCAACCACTTCTGCCTACATGGTCAGCTGCGCGCGTGGCATTATTCCCCCCTCTAAAAAAAAACAGCATAGTCCCGATGCAGCACAAAATGAAAACACAAATCCAGAAAGAAAGGACACCAGAATTGCGAGCCACGCGGTTCTCTCTTTGACGAGAGTCCAAAGTTCTATCGTTCGTAATACGGCTTGAGCCGGACGACGTGCGCCACCTCGGTTCGTGGCTGGCGTCTTGCAGATGGGCGCGTTCCGTCGGGAAGAACTTCGTAGTTCAGATCGCCGAGGCGTCGGATGATTTTGTTGGGTCCGAAATAGCCTTTCAGAAGCTTCTCGCTGAGGCCGCGGGGCCCGTATCGGTGTCCACACCCATACCCTGTCTCCGGGTTGAAAGTGGACGTCCCGGCGACAAGGGTTATTCCGGCGTGCGTCGATTCGCTGTTGGTCTTCAATCTTGATTCTTGCCAGTTGGCGAGCTTCTTCCGCGCGTTGAGAGATGAGTCGAGCGTCGTCGTTACCATCGTCGGTTGGCACGTGAGGCAGCATGGCGTCGAACATTGTGGTAACCGTCCGGCCGTTTGAACGGCGTCATTCCCGTGGCTTCTTGAACCGCTGTGTTATACGCAAACGTTACGTACGCAACACCTCGTCTCACGCCTTGTGCTCTACGTCGACGTACGTGGAGATCATGTCGGCGATCGTCTTGTTGAGCCGCTCCCTTAGCCCGTTGGTCTGCGGACGATAAGCGGTGGTTCGTCGATGGCTGGTGTGACCGAGTCGAAGAACCTCTTGAGTCAGCTGTGCCATGAAAATGATCGCGATCTGTGATCACAGAGCACTTCAGGTCGAAGGAGAATGGCGAACGAAACATCTGTAGTAAGCGCACAGCTCAAGTCTTCGTACGGACTTGTTGTCCGATGGCTTCGAAAATTCGACGATAGCGGATATCTCTTCAACGTCAGAGCTTACACCCTGAGCACTCACGACATGGCCCAGGAGTTTGAGCTTACCGTAAGCGAGCCGACATTGTGATGGTGTTAATGTCCGTTTTGCATTTTGGATAGCCTGTAGCACGGCTCACGGACGTCTCAGGTGCTCGTCGAAGTCGCTTGCGAATACCACGACTTCGTCGTGGTAGACGAGACAGCTTTGCCATTTCAAGCCTGAAAGGACGGTGTCCATTACGCGGTGGAAGGTCGCCGGTGCTTTGCACCGTCTGAACAGCATCACTTTAGATTCACACAGTCCGTCCGGTGTGACGAAGGAAGTTTTCTCACGATCCCGTTCGTCTACCTCAATCTGCTAGTACCCACTTTCCAGGTCCACCGACGAAAAGTATCGGGTGTGCCGCAGCCGGTCTAGGGTGTCGTCGATGCGTGGCAGCGGGTAGACGTTCTTTTTGGTTAAGGCATTCAGTCGACGATTGTCCACACAGAACCGAAAAGTCTCGTCTTTCTTCTCCACCAGGACTGCCGGTGAAGCCCACAGACTGTTTGAGGGTTGGATGATGTCGTCATCGAGCATTTCTTGAACCGGTTTCTGGATGACTTCTCTCTCTTTCACAGAGACACGGTACGGCAACCAATGAACAGGAAGCGCGTCGTCATCAGTAACAATTCGATGTTCCGCTATCGTCGTTTGGCGTACCTTTGACGACGTGGAGAAGCACTCATTGAACTCGGTGAGAAGGA